CTCCTTAACAGACACAGTGATCAGTAACTTTAGGACATCATGTGGTTTGAGCTCTGGAGCCAAAGTAAGTAGATATCTGGAGGATACAACAGTCGTAAAAGAGAGATAGCAAACATAATAACATATACTACTACAGCAGAATTACTTGAAAAGATAGACCAAGAATTTAAAGTAAGTAATTCTAAAGGAAACAAGGGAAGATACAGGAGTTATGAAGGATAGGAAATCATTAAAAAGAACCAAGTAAAATTATGAGGAATACAAAATATAATACAGTGGAACCTTCATTCTCAAACTTAATTCTGGAAGGCTGTTCAAAAACCAAAGCATATTTTCCCATTAGAAACCATGTAAATTGAATTAATCTGATCCAGACCCCCAAATGATTCCATTTTAACCTTTCTTATATACCATAGATATCTAATTTACTGTTTAATCTACAAGTAAACACTTAAAAAACAAAAAGGATATACTTTAACAAAAAGGAAATGTACAGTAAAAAATGAAAATTTTATAATAAGTAGCAACAAAAGCAAAAAGAAAGAAAGAAAGAAAGAAAATATTCACAGCACAATATCCTGAGATGTTAACAGTGGTAAACTGACTGATATTCTCGCATTCTCTCCTTTGTTGCCTGAGGGACTCCTGACTGATCATTCAGGTATCAGCATGCAAGATCTGCTGGTTGAGATAGAACTGTTCAAGATGGGAGATGTTTGAGAAACAAAGGAGGTTTGACTGAAAGTGAAAGTTTATTTTAGTTAGACTAGGAAAGGTTTCCTTAAGAGGGAAACAGCTGAGCTGAGGCCTGATGATATAAAGAAAAATATAAATACGACAATTATGTGAAGATCTAAGGGACGAAAATTCAAAAAAGGGAATAATAGCAAGTATACACAGGTGCTTCACCTATGTGAGGAAAAGAAAGGTCTCTTTGGTTATAGTGAAGGTAGGCAGGGCAAAATGGCAGGGAAATAGGGTTAAGGGGTAGGCAGGAGCCTGATCATGGTCTTGTAGGTCACAGTATTTTCTAAGTTTAGTGTTCATGTTTCACTTAGGAAATTCTCTATTAGTTACTGTACTACCTCTGACTGCACGAAGGCCAATAGGGAAAACAGGTACACTGCTTACTGTGAGCCATGTACTAAATGCCTTACACGTTTAACTCATCCTGAGGCAGGAAAAGTGAGAACAAGTAACAGAGGCCTAAAGCTCTGCCCCTCCCATTTTCCATCTTGGCTGGAATATCATAGATGTAATCTTCACTGACCACCTGTTACCCTGCTTCCCTCTCCTCAATATCCTGTAATTAAGACAAACAAAATGGTCTTACCGAAATTTGGCAGCCTATTGACCTAAAAGTGACCAATAGGGCCATTGTAATATCTTTATCATAAATCTGCATTACGGTTTTGGGGCCCTCTCTCCTTACCCCTCAAATTGCCATGACAGTATTAGGAGGACCAAAAAAAGAAATTGTTACCTGGAAAAGAGGGATGAAGATGAGCCATTTCGGCAGGCACCCCACCAGTGCCAGAAATCAAGCCACCCTATGCCCACCTTGCCCTCATTTAATAAAAACCTTCCAGACCCCCACTGGGGCATCTTGTTCTCTGAGGTTGCCCAACTCTCACTTGAGTGGGTACTATCACTTTAAGAAATCTAATGTGCTTTGCTAAATCTTCCTATCACACTCTCAAATCCTTTATTGGGCCGTGATAAGATCCTGGACCTTGGTATTGGATTGAGGCCTCCCTTGGCCTCCTCAGATGCTGTCTGGCATCAATCTAACCCTCACAACAGGTAAGAAAGGTTATTATTTACACTTTATAGACAAAGAAACTAAAGCACAGAGAGGTTAAGTCAGCCGTGGGCAAACTACGGCCCGTGGGCCTGATCCAGCCTGTTTGAAATGAATAAAACTAAAAATAAAAAAAAAAAGACCGTACCCTTTTATGTAAAGATGTTTACTTTGAATTTATATTAGTTCACACAAACACTCCATCCATGCTTTTGTTCCAGACCTCGGGTTTAAGAACCCATTGTGGCCCTCGAGTCAAAAAGTTTGCCCACCCCTGGGTTAAGGAATTTACTCAAAGAAGTAAATGGAGGTAGGAAATGGTGGATCTGGAATGTGAAACTAGACTCTGGAGTCCATGCTCTTAATCTCCATGCTATGTTGCCACTCAAACTGTTTTAAGAAGGTATTGTGCATAGCAGTGGAGGCAAACTCATTTATACAAATCTGAGAGGACATTAAAGCTGTTCTACTAAGTCACTTATTTCCTGAGCCTTAGTTTTAGTTTCTATACACAGAATATTAGGCTTCTTATCATAGGTACATTGGGTCTATAGTGAGAAAATTCTCTAAGAATGCAGGAAAAAAACTCAGTTAAACTTTAAGAACAATCAAATACAGATTAAGGACATTGTGTACCCGACCACCTGTTACCCTGCTTCCTTCTCCTCAATATCCTGTAATTAAGGCCCCTTTCACGCCACTGTGTTCACACTCATAAAAAGTCACTTTTATTGCTTGGAACTTGTTTTCTGACAATGCCAGGCATTATCAGCACTAATGAGCTACTGCATACAAAGCATTTTCCAGGGATAGGACACATGTAAGGACTCAATAAACAGCTGAATTATGATCAACACATAATAAAAGTTACACTCTATTAGGCTTTTAACTTTGCCTAATAATATAATTTACAGTCTTCAGAGGTGTTTATTTATTTACAGAAAGACAACTGAAATATTGGTACACACATATCATTTATAGGAAAAAACAGACAGAACTAAAAATAATCCTAAAACTCCTATATTCTAGAATAAATTTTTAAAAATTAGATCATACAGAATCTGTTAGTCATGAGAAAATATAAACTACATGCAAGAAACTTTAATATTAACAATGTTGCATACTTTCATATATCCATAATGCTAAAGTAGAATAATATATAATGGTAAGCCCCAAGTGTGGCATATGTTTTATAAGCAGCACTAAAGTAGATAAAAATTACCTGATCAAGTTTTATAGCTACAGAAAAAAATTGAATGTTAAGACATTTACCTATGGAATTATTCGGTCCTTTAGATTTGGTATATGACAAAAATGCAGCTAGAAAAAAGATAGACGACAAAAGTTCTGCTCTTCCTACAACACCCGTTACCTATAAAGGGAAGGGGGGGGTCATATTAATGAAGAGCATCTTGAAAACTTAAAGGTACATAACAGCAACAGCACTCTAAGGAGAAACTAAATTGCCACAACTTTTCAAGTGAAAATTTCATTTAGACATTCTTTGAGTGCCCTCATGTGGTGAATTTGTATATCTTCCATAAAAATAAATTTATCAGTGACTCCAAAGTCCTTTTATCATTAACTAGTGACCCAGTGCATGGATTCGAGCACATTGACAGGAAATTAGTTAAAAGGTGGCCAGCAGGGCAGGACTGGGTGAGACAGGCTAGACACATCCTGGAGCCAACCTCCTGTGGTCTCTCCCCAGCCAGCAGCACCTGGGGTGACACTGTGGCTTGAAGGGCATTTGTGGAGTGAATGGGGTCCCTCTGACAAGTGGAGTCCCTCGGCCTGGCCTGTGGGGATCAGGCCGAAACTGGCTCTCTGACATCTCCCGAGGGATCCCAGAGTGTGAGAGGGCACTCTGCAAAGTTTTTGTCATACAGGGTGTGAACACAAACCCAAGTGTGCAGTAAACCAGATTTGGGGCTGACAGTGCCCCAGCAACAACATAACCCATGGCTGACAGTGGAATTGCGCGGTCCAGCGAGGAATTGGTTCCCTCCTTTCTGATTTCAGGGTGCATCACCCAAGAACTGCCACTGCCAACTCACTGCAGCTCCTGCATTGAGCATCCACCTCCTTGTGGTCAGTGTGCATCATAGCTACCAGCTGGAGGACACTTAGCATATTAGCCTTTTATTATATAGGATAATATTTTGAAGTAATTATAAACACACAGAAAGTTACAAAAATAGTAGGTAGAGGTCTCATGTACCCTTTATCCAGCGTCCCTCAATGGCAACATTTAAGGAATTCTTAAATATTTTCTTAAAATATAAGTGTTCTAAAAAAAAGTATCATAAATTCAACGAGTTATATCTCACAATAAGCCAGCAAATTAAAGTTTAAAAAGACAATCAACTTTAAAGTCCTTTTAAATACTAGAAATTTAAATATAAAACACCAAGCCTCTCTCCCTTTAAAATATTCTGAACTCACTCTAAAATTTAAAACAACCTATCATTTTTGTAAATGTATGGAAAACTGCTAGACTCCAAAAAGTTTAAGATAGTGGGAGACACAAGTCCCCTGCAACACATACACAGAATTTAAACATAATTTTTTGCTTAGAATCAAAACAAAGCAATTGAACAGAGTCCTCTTTACTCTGCTGAGAGGCAATTTTGGAGTTTTAAGGTTAACAACAAAAAAATTTATCATTTGAAGTATGTCTTGGTAGATAGGGGCTGATGGACATATTGGCAATAGCAAGAACAGCTCACAGTTTTGAAATACATGGCAACAGACAACTTGAAACTACTGAGAATCATCCCTTGTTAGGATGTCTGTTCATGTTTGCATTTATTTTAATATATTTTCATCCCTTATTTAAATTTGCCTTATTATTTTCTGTCCTTTGGAAAGAAAACAATACCAAATTTAAAAAATATTTTACATTTATATTTAGAAAACATTTAGCAAAGAATAAAATTGTATTCATTTACATATTATATTACTATGACTGAACGATTAGATCTTGTTTTTGAATAATGTTTATGTTTCAAAAACTGCTTTAAATTTTAAAATTTTATGTAATATAAAGTTAGATTCTGTGCAATGGGGAGTTAGGACTTATTGCAGTAATTTAAGATTTTACAATAAAGTCATAGTTAAATGTTATTCTTAAAAATATATACTAATCACAGTGTAGACTTTATAAAAAATGAAATAAATATTAATTTACAGTGTACTTACTGCTTCTGTGTGTATTGGGTGTACTGCAAAAAGTAAAGAAGCAATCACACTACTTCTGCTGTCCAGAAAAAGTTTGCAGACTTTAAGAAATATTATAGTGACCACAGCATGTAAAATCATATTTAGGAGATGATATGACATCGGTTTCAGTTCACTAAACAGATAATTTAGGCGAAATGTCAAGACTGTTAAGGGACGGTAAGACTTGTGACTTCTCTCCTAAAAGGAAAAAAACAATCACTGATTACTAAGTACCCTGGTTCTTTGGGGTTTTTGAACTAATCATTTAATTTACTTTAAAAAAATCTTTATTATTCAAAGTATTACAGATGTTCCTTTTTCTCCCCCCACTGTCCATAATGTATAAACCTGAATTCTATTACACCGAAAATCTCCAAATACTACACAGAGAGTAATGCAAGAGCAAAACCTTCTTAGAATAAGAGAATAGACACCTTTGCTATGGCAGTCTCCAACAGCAATACATCCAATTTTATATGAAGTACTAAATTTCTTTATAAATGACAAGTCACATTTAATCAGAAATATTTCACTTTTTTAAAAATATATTTTATTGATTTTTTACAGAGAGGAAGGGAGGGAGATAGAGAGTTAGAAACATTGATGAGAGAGAGACATCGATCAGCTGCCTCCTGCACATCTCCTACTGGGGATGTGCCTGCAACCCAGGTACATGCCCTTGACTGGAATCGAACCTGGGACCTTTCAGTCCACAGGCCGACGCTCTATCCACTGAGCCAAACCGGTTTCGGCTAACCAGAAATATTTTTGCTCTAAGACAAAATCAAGTCAGATTTAAGAATAAAACACACAGATGAAAACTATATAAAATATTATCTTAGTTATTTCTTGTAATTTTATATAAGGGAATGCACACACAGCATCTTTGCTCTCCTAGCCCTTACATAGTTTGGTGTGTAGGTACAGACTTCAGCCTGTTCATACCTACTAGAGAACATACGGAAGCACAAGCAACAAACACTGCCCATTTTGAACTAGGAACATTTTAATCTCTCTGTTTGTATCGACTACACACACCATGCGTGATGTCTACCCAGAATGTTCTTTCCTGCTAGGCTAATAATTATACATCCTTTTTATTTCAGCTCAGGCATACAAATTTTATTTTAAGGCACTATATCAAACTGACATGATTTGTACCAGAAAGCAGAAAAAGGTTCTAGAAACACTGTGAGTGCCTGAAATGTTACTGTGGCTCCATTGGAACATATTTGCCAGTGAAAGGATGAAGCAAGAAAGGGGCAGGGAATAGGTATTTTTAATTGCAGTATACATAACTGCTTTGTTAGGTCTATTAGATGTATACATGCCATAGGTAATAACAACTAAAAACAGATTGTTAATATAACTAATTATTCACAGAAATCATTAACATTCTATTTAATAAGACTCCACTGTTGTAGATAATCATCACCTTATATATCAAATTTACTCTGAAAATCTAGTAAAACAGCTCGTTTCATTATAAACAAGACAATTTTGATCATTATTATATTCAACTATATTAAAGAAAAAATTACTCATATATTAGTTGGCAATAGAAACATAAGCACAAATATAATGAAAAATAAGCAGTTAATGTAAGTCTACATATATGGATGGCAAAACAAAGTAAGAAAGGATACCTGCAGAAGTTACCTTAACACAGGTGGCTTTACAGCTCAGTGGTTTTCAACCATGGCTGCACCTAACTTACACAGTCCCTTCTTGCCGCCACCCCAACCCCACAAAAACAAGAAAGCAAACACACAAACAAAACAGGACAAAAAATACTGATGCCAGCATCCCACTCTGAGATAACTGTAATTAATAGTTTTGGGTAGATCCTTGGTAATATATATTTTTAAAGTGACCCAGGCAGATTCTATGTGCAGCTAGGGTTGCAATACAAGAAAACATCAATAAACAGAGTATTACATATTTAAAAAAATGGGCTTACTAAAGAGATTCATCTAAATAATGAGAGCACCAGAGGAGTCTAATGATTCCCTAATGTGGTAGTATTCATGTCGCTCAGGAGAATGTGTCTCTAAGATCTACACTGGTACAAATATCATTATAAAGATTGTGCCTGTGCAAGCTTCCAGGTTACCATTACTTGATAACATCAATTATTAAGTCTTTGAAAGTGCTAATTCCAGGCTTGTCAAAAAACCTTATGACAACTAAATACTAGTTGGAATAATTTTTCCATAGTAGCACAGTTCCCTACAGGGAGAGAACATGTTTATCAGAAAATAAGAGGAAGCAACACTCTTCACTATAAATTGTTATTTTAATTTGTTCATACATTCTGGGTTTATTGTTTCTTAGGGTATTCTCTTACAGGTGCCCGCACAAAATCAAATTTTCATCTGCAAAGCTGAGAAAATCATAAAAGATAGCATTAATACCATGGTATAACTTTCATGAGCCCTTTAATCTGATCATCTAACCTTTCAGGTTAAAAATCTCAATGTCATGATTAAATCACAAAAGACACCATAAGATAGGCAAATGGACACCTACTTCTAGGGGTCTCTGGGGATTAAATGATAGAGGTCAAGGGGAAATAAACTGTTTTCCCTTCTTAACAAAAGACTTATTTTTTAAAGGCTAGAATTGGGTAAGAATAGCAAGGTTGCAAGAAAATAGAGACTGCTTATTTTATTTATTACTAGAGGCCTGGTGCACGAGATTTGTGCATTTGGGAAAGGGTTGAGAGGGGGGTTGGTCCCTCAGCCCGGCCTGCGCCCTCTCGCAGTCTGGGAGCCCTCAGGTCTAAGCCATCAGTAGACATCCTTAGCGCTGCCTTGTTGAATCATTAGGCTCTACAACTGTGCTTGCCAGCAGTGAGCTCGGCTTCTGGCTGAGCGGTGCTGTGGGAGCGCACTGACTACCTGGGGGCAGCTCCTGCATTGAGCATTTGCCCCTTGGTGGTCAGTGCATGTCATAGCAACTGGTCGGTCCGCCATTCAGTTGATTTGTATATTAGCTTTTTATTATATAGGAGTGTCTTTTAGTCCTCACCCGAGAATATGTTTTTATTGATTTTTAGAGGGAGAAGAAGGGAGACACAGAGAGAAACATCGATGTAAGAGAGAAATATTTATGGGTTGCCTCCTATACACACCCTGACCGGGGATTGAACCCGAAACCTAGGCAAGTGCCCTGATGGGGAATTGAACTCACAGCCTTTTTAGTGTGTGAGACGACACTCCAACCAACTGAGCCACTCATTCAGGGCCAGTCTGCCTATCTGTACTAATAAAAGCCTAGGTGGCCCATACGCACAACGTCATCACAAGATGGCTACATGCACAGTGGAGGCGGGGCCCAGTGGCTGCTTCACACAGTGAGGCCTGGAGATCCTGTGGCTCTGCGTGGCACGGAGGAGTCTGGTCATGGTGACTTCACGGCCTCGCACAGAGGAGGCAGGTCCTGGCAGAGGAGGCAGATGGCAGGAGCAGTTGGGCATCCCCCGAGGGGTCCCAGATTGGAGAGGGTGCAGGCCGGGTTGAGGGACACCCCCCACCCCATGCACAGATTTTGTGCACCGGGCCTCTAGTTTAATAAGAAAAAATACTTATTATGTGCTAGTGATGAGAGAAAGGAAAGAGTCCATCCATCCCTATGCTTGTGAAGCTTCCAAATGTAGAAATGTGGGATAGGCTGTGAATAATGACTGACAAACTATAACTGTAACAAAATGTTATATATTATGTTTCAACAACTATGTGCCAGGTAATGTAGGTATATCAATTCATTTATTTACCCTCAAGGTATAGAGTAGTAGGAAACACTTACCATCTAAAAGCTGCTTTCCCACCTATTTCACACAGCTATTACATAATATAATAAAAAGCTAACTGTGAAAGGGCACAGGCCAGGCTGAGGTACCCTTCCTTGAGTGCACAAATCTTGTGCACCAGGCCTCTAGTTACTTAATAAAACTAAAATTAGAATCCAATCTATATAATCCCAAACTGACAAGGGTTTAATTCCAATTTAATATTGACCTTCAAAATAAAATTTCTGGCAAAGTAAAATTATCTTCATAAGAATGAAATGAGCTTTTGGGTTCTCAAAATAAAATAATAAAACAAAAACCCCTATTAGATAAGAGAGATGCTATTTAATGTTTTTAATAAGTCACTTTTTTTCTGCAGAAAAATTGGCAATATATACGTGTACTTACTATTGTTTTGCTTAAGGTCTAATTTATATTAAAGTTGCATGCATTTTTAAATAAATATATCACAAGTAGTCATCTCTTTTGCCTCATTCAGAAGAGAGGGGAAAAAAAGAAAGCCAGTGAGCAAGAAACAGACTTGCATTACATCTACTGTTCTGCTAACACATTTGCTTTTCATACACATATATTATTTTTTAAAAGACTAAGCTAAGGTACATAACCAAGGAAGAAAATAAGTAATGCTTTAAAAAGATAAACGCATCTTTAATTTCCTACCCATTTTTTTATAAACATGCTATGCCTAAAATTTTGGGGTAAAAAAAATCTATTAATTGCTATGTTGACAATGCTCATAAAGAAAGAAATAGGGCCTGGCTAGTGTGCTCAGTGGTTGATCTGTGACCTATGAACCAAGAGGTCACAGTTCGATTCCCAGTCAGGGAACATGCCTGAGTTGCAGGCTCGATCCCTGGAAGGGGGTGTGCAGGAGGCAGCCAATTGATGATTCTCTCATTATTATTGCTTCTAGCTCTCCCTAACCCTTCCTCTCTGAAATCAATAAAAAAGAAACAGGAGTAATAAACTACCAAAATATTTTAAAATCTGAGATTCTTATAATATGTAATTACTTACCTCAGACATAGGGGTTCCCCAGAAGTCATTCTGAAATAAAGTTTTTAAAGGTGTAGATGGATGCAGATCTTTATTATCCAGTATTGCTGACACATCATCAAAAACAAAACCACAAAAGAGGCTGTTCCAATAGCAGGCAGTAACCACACCTACTATTAAGGTTATTTCCTTGAGGGTGATATCAGCCATCTTTTCCAAAGCACTTGTACACAAAATCTGGGGGGTGGAGGGAGAGAGATTATAAAGATAAAATGAAATAAGCAATGTGTGTTTATTTTTCAAATAAGTACAACTTTAATAGATGGAGAGTAAGCAAATGAAGACTGAATGCTAATTATCTCAGAGAATTCATTCTTCAAAGCTCAGCTTAAACATCATCCTTCTCTAAAAAAAAAGAAAAGCATTAGCTGATTACCTCTCTATGTTCCTAATATAAGACAGAATTAATTGCTCCTTTATATGTGTTTTCAATCCTCTGTTAGAGTCCTTTATTACACCACTTAATCTTTAGACTTATTTTTCTAGCAAGCTAGATAGTGAACTCCTTATCAATTGTCACAGGTCAGGTTACCTGGGAAATAAATAAATAAATAGATATGATAACTTTTAAAAACTAGTAGGAAGTGCTACTATTTTATTATTTTACTAGACCCGGTGCACAAAAATTTGTGCACTCGGGGGGGGTGGGGGGAGGGTCCCTCAGCCCAGCCTGTGCCCTCTCACAGTCTGGGACCCCTTGGGGGATGTCCACCTGCCAGCTTAGGCCTGCTCCCTGGGGGAGCGGGCCTAAACTGGCAGTCGGACATCCCCCTGGCAGTCGAGGAACCCTCAGGGGATGTTCACTTGACAGCGGGGAGCAGGCCTAAGCTGCAGTCAGACATCCTTAGCGCTGCTGAGGAGGCGGGAGAGGCTCCCACCACCATCGCTGTGCTGGCAGCCATGAGCCTGGCTTGTGGCTGAGCAGAGCTCCCCCTGTGGGAGCTCACTGACCACCAGGGGGCAGCTCCTGCATTGAGCATCTGCCCCCTAGTGGTCAGTGTGTGTCATAGTGACCAATCATTCCCAGTGGTTCTGCTGTTAGGGTCGATTTGCATATTACCTTTTTATTATATAGGATAGAGGCCTGGTGCATGGGTGGAGGCCAGCTGGTTTGCCCTGAAAGGTGTCCTGGATCAGGGTGGGGTCCCACTGGGGTAACCGGCCAGTACAGTGGGGACCCTCACCCCATGGGGGTTTGGCCAGCCTGGGTAAGGGGCTGAGGGCCTTTAAAGGTTGGCTACAGCCGTGGGCTGGAAGCAAATATCTGGGATTTATTTATCGTCTATAATTGAAACTTTGTAGCCTTGAGTGGAGCCCAAGTCCTGGAAGCCGGGGTTGCCCCTTGGCAACCCAGGCTCCCAGCCACTCCCTGAGCGGAGGCCATGGCAGCTGGAAGCAGGTATCAGGGATTTATTTGACTTCTATAATTGAAACTTTGTAGCCTTGAGTGTAGCTAAGGGCTGGCAGGGCAGGTGGGAAGCTTGGCTTCCTCTATTGCTGGGGGCAACCCAAACCTCCTGCTCACTCCAGCTCTGTGGCTGCTGCCATCTTAGTTGGGTTAATTTGCATATTTGCCCCTGATTGGCTTGTGGGCATGGCTTGTGTGTGTAGTAGAGGTATGGTCAATTTGCATGTTTCTCTTTTATTAGATTAGATAGATCTAAAGATCAACTATTACCTAAATCAGGGGTCCAAACTTGTACCTGAAGCCCTGTTTAGTTTGATCAAAAGGTTTTAAAAAATGTGTCTTGAATGCTATTATGCTGTTAACAACAGTTCCATTCTCTTTACTCAGATTGTTTTGATTGATTTATGCTATTTACCTGGCCTCTGGGGCATATGAGTTTATAACCTAGGTCTAAATCATGGCTTTTCTTTTTCCCATTACAACACTTTTAATCTAGAGAATGAACTTTATATGTGATAATATATAATTAAATCATTGCGTAGGAAGGATTCATTGAGAGAATGGTTTAGAATAGAAAGGACTACATGAACTGGAAGATACTGGAAAATCAACCCTATGATAAAAATAAGGTTGAGAGGTATTACAAGTTGATGATATACTTTTCCAGTCAGAGTAGTGTCATTACTATCATTTTAGTGTTATCACTTGTGGATGGCTCCCCAAATTGTCCATATCCAAATCCCATCATCCTGTGAATATGTTACCTTACATGAAAAATGAGACTTTGCAGGTGTGTTTAAATTGAGGATTCTGAGATAAGGAGATTATCCTGGATTATCTGGGTAAACCAGTTCAATGGGAAGAGACCTTACAAGTGAAGAGTTAAAAGGAGTCTAAAAGCAGAGGTCAGACTGATATGATGGCTGGCTGGAGGCCACAAGCTAAGAAGTCAGGGCAAACTCTAGTAGCTGGAAAAGACAAAGAAACACATTTGTCATTAGAGCTTCTAAAACGACCACAACCCCATTGACATCTTAATTTTAGTCCAGGGAGACCTATTCGGAACTTGATTTATAGAACTGGAAAATAATAAATTTGTGTTATTTTAAGCTACTACATTTGTGGTCATTTGTTATAGCAGCAATAGGAAACTAATAATCACTCACAGAGCCAGATGACGTGAGATCTGAGGTATACATGTATAAGAGTTCTGGTTAGATCAGAGAGAAAGAATAGGGTAGAAAGGGTAGGCAAAGATTTCAAATCATATGTAAGATTTGGGGGATGAAAAAGGGAGTATGTACAAGTTCAGTGATCAAAAGTAATCTCACAGGGTGATCTGACATAAATTCCCAACTAGGAAAGTCATGATGGGTATTAACCTCCAGGCCTAAAACGTTTATCTTACCCTTACTGTTTCTGAGCATCTAGGTCAACACACCTTTGAAATGCCTCTTTTTCAGATCCCTCAGAGGCATAAACACCCTCAAGTGAGCACATAATATAGTTTACTATCATGTACCTTGCTTTCTTTCACTTTCATGTCAATAGTCTTCCTTACATTCCCTCAATTACAAATGTAGAAAAGAAACTGAAAAACAGTCATCCTTTGGGGTATTTGAGATCTTGATTCCCAGCAATGTCATCAGCATGGCTCAAATAAACTCATAAAAATTCTCTACAGGTTTGGATGTTTCTTAACATTGATAATTTACATAGAGATATACAAAAGCCTATGGGAAAACATTAACTTATCTTTAGAACCAGAGAGAAAACCTTAGAAAGAAATGAAACCTTTTCATTAAAACATTTTTCATTTCTTTAAAAACGTTTTTAGCCGAAACCGGTTTGGCTCAGTGGATAGAGCATCGGCCTGCGGACTGAAGGGTCCCAGGTTCGATTCCGGTCAAGGGCATGTACCTGGGTTGCGGGCACATCCCCAGTGGGAAGTGTGCAGGAGGCAGCTAATCGATGTTTCTCTCTCATCGATGTTTCTAACTCTCTATCTCTCTCCCTTCCTCTCTGTAAAAAATCAATAAAATACATTAAAAAAAATAAAAAAAACACGTTTTTATTTTATTTTTTAAAAACGTTTTTAAAGAAATGAAAAACCCAATCCAACAAATCAGGAGTGGAAATTAGCTGTATCTTTTGAAGAAATATAGTTTTCAATGAAAAGAAAGGGCTTTTTCCATTATGTAAAGGTTCCTCCCTCCCTCCCTCCCTCCCTCCCTTCCTTCCTTCTCTTCTTCCTTCCTTCCTTATAAGAGAAAGTTTATTTAGAAAGGTATAAAGGTAGTAGGAGTGAGCCAGCTGGGCTACTTAGGCTCAGGAAACAAGTCAGAGGCAAAAGAGGGCTCTGTCAGCTCAGGAGTGAGAAGGGCAAAGGTAATATAATATGCCTTGGGGGAAGGGCAAGGTGGAGGCATCAGGCATGCTCCCAGAGAGAGCTCTGGAGGGCTTCTATTGAATCCCGAAGTGATTTACCATGTCTAAATGGTACAGACTTGTACTTACACACTTATTATCACACAAAAAAGTTAATGGTGCTTGTTTAAAGACTGAACAGGTATTTGTTTGCCTCAGCTCCTTCCCAAACATGCTAACATGACACTAAAGGTGTTAATTAAAAAAGAAAGAAAAAAAAAGGCTATAAATTCACAAGAATGAAGACAATTGTGTAAATGAAAGAGAAGTTCCATGGAAAGTAATCTCACAGGGTTACTGATCATAAATTCCTAATTGGGAGGGTCATACTGGGTCGTCATGCCCCAGGTATATAGCATTTTACTAAAAGAATTATCTTTGCTATAAGCAGGCTGTGTCCATTGTTCCTGTGCATCTAAGTTAACATATCTTTGAAATAAACTGTAATTATCCTCAAGAAAGCACATACAGTGGAACCTCGGCTTTCCAACTTAATTCGCTCTGGAAGGCAATTTGAGAAGTGATTTGTTTGAAAACGGAATCATTTTCCCCCATTAGAAATGATATAATGAATTAATTCATTCCAGACCCACCAATGATTCTGTTTTTACCTTTCTTACTAGTATATACAGTAAATGTTTAATCTATAAACAAACATCTCTTGCTTAAATTTATCAAACCACCCCCTATTAGCCTAAACAAATTTATATTGTTGTAATAACCTGGTTATTAATTAAGAGGAAAGGAGTAAAGAGAAGGCCCGATAATATAGGCATGGCATTTATGCCAGGAAGCTGCAGTTTAACATTCTGGTCTGTTCCCCACATGGGGGAAGGGACTGGATAATAGATGCATGTCCACTAAGGTCTGGGTGACCTGGGAAAGTGCTTGTCTGTCAATCACACCTGGGAGGGAATCACTGTCTAGAATGGTCATGGCCACTGCAAAGGTACAAAATCTGAGATACATAGGTTCCTGAACAAAGGGAGTGCTCTCTCTTGCACACTGGGTTCTTGGTTCACTTGTTGCTCACATGGACTACAGTCAGCCTGATGCTGTGGTGGACTCAACTCCCCCATTGAACAGAAACTTTGGACACTAGCTTTGCTTCTAGCTCTGCTGAAGCCCCCAGCTGCACCTTTTCCAGGACTAGTTTAAGGGAAATAGAACTTTGGAAACCGAGCGATATAATTACACACAAATAAAAATCACTCATTCTTCCTGATTCTTAGAAAATTCTTTTTCTCAAGATAGCATAAGAACTCCACTCCTACTAGCAACAGAAATTCCACCCAAGCAATTCTCCAATAACAGAATCACTTTCAGCCCTGGTTCCAGGGGTAACTTCCAGGAAGTCCACATGTAGCATCTTCGCTTTTTCACATATCACTGCTTCAGAAATGCTGTCACTAGCTAACTGCTTTCCTTTATCCAAATCAACAATTTTGCTACCTCTTTAATTGCTTGTGATTAGTGTTTTGTGTGCACTTTCACATCCTTAACATTAGCATTCTTGATGGCCTTTTTATGTTTTAAAATTGTGCAAATAATCGATTTTGCCAGCAACAAAAGCATTCTCGCCTTTCTTTGTGCTGGAGAGATGCTTTTTGTCATGCTGAGGTATCAGCATGAAAGGGCCGCCAGGTTCAAAACTGAGTTTTTTCTATGAACAACTTGGTCAAAAACCGAAGTGTTCGAGATGGGATACTCTGGTCACGGATCAAACCTGCAACCGTGACATATAAGAACGATGCTCTAACCAACTGGGCACCTGGCCAGGGACCCAATGTTCATTTTTAAATCAGAACCTATTCCCTTTCAACTAGGGAATGTTACAAGGCAACATATATTTTTGCTAGTCAAATCTGACCCAATTCCCAGTTGGGGAATTCCCTCTGAGTTATGTAGTAACTGAGGGACTCCTTTCATTGGGCAAATAATGCAATCGATTATAACATTTTGCCTATTCTACAGCATTTTCATTGTGCTTATCACCCCCAGTCCTCTGGAATGGTGGGTCTTCCAAATGGTACAATTAAAACTCAACAAGCTAAATTTTCAGAAGCTTCTAGTCTCCCTTGACCAAAAGGTCTCCCTATAGTGCTTCTCAACCTGAGAGCTACTCCTTGAAAACACCGCCTTTCTCCTTATGAAATAGTCACTGGTTGCTCTATGCATCTGGAAGAAAGGGCATGTGAACCAATTTTACTCAGTGGAGACTTTATGCATTATTATCAAGGACTTACTAATTGGCTAAAATAAATTGATAAATTAGCGACTGATCCATTTTTTAGCGTACTGAAAGGAGATACAAAGACTTCAAAGACTGTAGCTTACAACCAGGAGATTTCGTCTGCTGCAGCAATTTTCAACCTTTTTCATCTCATGGCACACATAAACTAAATACTAAAATTCTGCAGCACACCAAAAAATATTACTATATTTTTGGCCTACCTGACAAAAATATATATATATATAATTTTGATTCATTCACACTGGTTGGCTATTGTTGTATTAGCTGTTGTCATTTTTTCTTATGACAATAGAAGGGACAAGAGGTCAGTGCCCTGACTGAATAGTCAGGTATTTCATGTTTTAAAAATTCTTGTGATTCACCAATGAAAATTGCTGGCTTACATAATACTAGAAAAATGACACAGAAGGCAATAGTTCATAGGATAGAAAAAATCCAGACTGTTTTTTTGTTTGTTTGTTTTTTTCATAATATATATAATGCTTGATTGCCTTCCCTTTACCTGCCCTTCCCATTTTGGGAAAATTCAGCCTCAATTCAAATCTCATGGGTTACATTATTGCCCCATCCCCCCAAAATCAATAAGACAATGAGGATACTGAGACTTCCTAGAAATGAGCCTTCTGGGAGCTGTGAGACCACACTATCTATCTACCAAAAGGTTGGACATCAGTGCATCGTTTGGATTGATTTATGACCAAAAGGGGGACCTGTGGACAAAAAGTGTGCTTCTATGGAAAGTAACTTCACAAGGTGATCTGATCATAAATTCCTAACTGGGTAGGTCATGGTGGATAGTAATGCCCCAGGCAAGTAACTTCTTAGTAAAAGGTTTACCTTTGCCTTAAGCAAGCCCCCTCCATTGTTTCTGTGCATCCAGGTTAACACATTTTTTAAAATCTCAAGAAAGACATAATTTTATTATCTATGCTGTAATCCCATCCCACCTTACTTTCTCTCCAAGTAATTTTCCTTCCATTCCCTCCTCCCTCTTTAATTTCAAATGTATAAAAATCTGCAAAATTGTTGTTCTCCAGAACATTTGAGATCTTATTCCTTCTCCAGCACATATTGTTTAAAAAAATAAAAGTAAAGGACTTAGCCAAGTTTAGATTTAGTATTGGAATTTTTATAGAATTTGAGTTGCTTTAGTGTTAAATGTAATCTACAGGCATTATTGTTTTGTTGTTCTTTTTTGTCTGTTTAAGTATTGAGAACATTTGACTTGTTAAGTCTAGCATCTGAAGTCCTTGAATACAAATAAACATATTAAAATTACAAATGCAGTTTTA